TTGTTCAAAATATGTCATGGATGTGTTGGTCAAAATGGTCAATGCATGTCATGGATGTGTTGGTCCAAATTATCAAAATATGTCATGGATGTGTTGGTCAAAATGGTCAATGCATGTCATGGATGTGTTGGTCAAAATGGTCAATGCATGTCATGGATGTGTTGGTGAAAATAGTCAAAATATGTCATGGATGTGTTGGTCAAAATGGCCAAAGCATGTCATGGATGTGTTGGGCAAAATGGTTGATGCATGTCATGGATGTGTTGGTCAAAATGGTTGATGCATGTCATGGATGTGTTGGTCAAAATGGTCAATGCATGTCATGGATGTGTTGGTCAAAATGGTCAAAGTATGTCATGGATGTGTTGGTCAAAATGGTCAAAGTATGTCATGGATGTGTTGGTCAAAATGGTCAAAGTATGTCATGGATGTGTTGGTCAAAATGGTCAAAATATGTCATGGATGCGTTGGTCAAAATGGTCAAAGCATGTCATGGATGTGTTGGTCAAAATGGTTGATGCATGTCATGGATGTGTTGGTCAAAATGGTCAAAGTATGTCATGGATGTGTTGGTCAAAATGGTCAAAGTATGTCATGGATGTGTTGGTCAAAATGGTCAAAGTGCATGTTATGGATGTGTTGGTCAAAATGGTCAAATTCTGTCATGAATGTGTTGGTCAAAATAGTCAAATTCTGTCATGGATGTGTTGGTCAAAATAGTCAAATTCTGTCATGGATGTGTTGGTCAAATGGGTCAAATTATGTCATGAATGAGTTAATCAAAATGGTCAATGCCTGCCATGGATGTGCAGGTCACAATGGTGTAATTGTATAACTTGTTGATGGTAAATATTAAAGTGAAGAAAACTGAAATTAAAATCTTTTGACTTACAGCATAAGGTTTTTTACCAAATGACATGGCTTCCCACAAAGTTACACCATAGCTCCAGACATCACCTTTGCTACTAAACTTAAAGCGATATATACATTCTGGGGCGTACCATTTTAGTGGCCATTTACCTGCTGACTCTGCCTGTGAAAAATAACAATTCTCTAATTGTTGGTTACTGTAAACATCCAATTGGTGAAATTAACACTGAAATAAGTTGTGATATAATTAATTTCTTCTTTTATTAACTCACAATATAATAGTCACTGCCAAGACCAAGTGCTTTTGACATTCCAAAGTCTGAAATCTTGGCATATGTTTCTGTAACCAAGAGGACATTCCTAGCAGCAAGATCTCTGTGCACAAACTGCTGCTCTTCCAAATACTGCATCCCCATGGCAACCTGATGCATTATTTCAATTATGTTCCGTAACCTCATCATCCTGAAGGATAAATAAAATGTGGTAGAGAAGTTGTAGACAATAATCCTTGAGAATGCACCATATAATCATGGGATACCATTGCATGATATTAAGAAAGCTTGAGCCGAATTTAAATTTTCATTAGTGAGCAAGATACTGTGTTACAATGAACAACACTTTATGCATGAAATCAAACGCAGTGCAGTGCAATGACACTTTCATACAAGTAACTTTTAACTGAATTATCTGTGAGGGCTTGAAATTAAACAACAAATTTCACTGTTGCATGCTGCACGTATAAGAAAAGGTCAACTTACGTATTTTCTTTAAGATATTTATTAAGTGGTCCCAGCTCAGCTAACTCTAATACTAACATCATAACACCTTCACCTCCTTGACACATGCCTGTATGAACAGAATACAAACTAATTTACAATGCAACCGATCTACAGCTCAGTCACTTTAAGATCATTGCAATACAACATGTAGCTTTATTGGGGTCATGCCTTACAACCAGCTAGGAAGATACCAATTGAAGCTTATGGGCATTACATGATCTTGACCCTATGAAAGTACCCAGTGTTATGGTGATGACCTCAAAAAAAAAATGATGGTGGAAATCAGCAGAGGCTTTGTGTTAATCTAAAGATGAATGTTTTGATAATTCATAAATTACAAAAAAAAACACTATATCATCTATAGTATGTAATTTTGAATTTGGTGATTTATTTATTACCTCATTTATTTATGTTACACAATGAAACTTTGTAAACGTTTTAGGATTCAACTAAAATTATGAATTTTTTTCTCAAACATGGAATTTTGGCAGAATGGGATCATATCATCACAAACCACTGGACATGGATATAACATAATAAGATTAAATTTACCAATCATTCTGACAATATATGGATTATCTAATCTCGTCATGAGCCCAGCTTCTTTCATAATTTCAGACTGCAAGGAAAACATAAAAAAAAAGAAAAATCACCAATGAATTTCATGTATATTGTATGTATCTGTGGCATAACCATCATACATGTCTGAACATAATTTCACTAATTTGGACCACGGTTGTCATAAAGGTTCGGCCAATTGAATTGTTGTTAATACACTTAATTTGTAGTAAGTAAATAAGGTATTTGTAATCAAGTTAGGGTATATTACGATTCAACATTCAGGCTTCTCTCTATTGGTCAATTCAAGCTATAATATCATAAAGAAGATACTTAGGAGTTAGCCATGTTTCGATACTGTATCATGATGAAAGATTGCCTTTTTACAATGAAATTAAAGTTTGTACTTTTCAATAGCTATTGTTGAGAGTCATTACAGTCAGCATAATAAAACTGAAAATTAATGGTTGTACAGTACTCACTGTGTTGTTAGGGAATCCATCTTGTTGTTTCAGTGTCTTCACTGCAACTGGAATTTCTTGTCCATCCACACGGCAATTTCCTTTGACAACCGAACCAAAATTGCCCTTACCTGTTTAAGAAATATATGAAAAATTACATTATTACTTAAAAGATTTCAATGAAAATTATTGGTAAATAACATTAAATTAACATTTTATTTGTTCTTGAAGCAAGCACTGTACTGTTTGAAAAAGTAGGACTTTGATTTTTGCTTAAACAAACATTTATTTTCAATTAGCAACTCGTATTCAGATGCTATAAATCCAACTTGACGTTTCTTGTTATTGAAAATTATTTCATTTGAGTACTAGTATCTATTTTTTCATTTTACACTTTTCTGTTTTAAATTCCCCCCACATTTTTTCTACAATAATGTCCCACTGACTAAGCCAAATTAAAATAATTTCACTCACTTCATAAATAAAACAAGTCATTATCAATGAAATTTTCAGTGACTGTGAATTACAATCAATGACAAATGTATATTATAATGAAATGTTAGGAGAGTTATAATTCAGCAAGATTATGTATGCCCATTAAGTAAAGATAACCTTTTTGAACAAAATTTGGCAAAGTATGTCAGAGAAACTGTAACTAGTCGACCATTTTCAACCAAGTCACAGAACAAACTAATATACATCGGTACTCCATTGTCAAAGGGTGTGTCTTGTTCATACTAAGTTTGAACAAAATCAGCCAAGATACAAGCCTGCGAAATGGTCCTTGACTTGGTAAAATGTTGTGTTTTTTGGGAGGAGAAGGCGGGAGATGGTTTAGAATTTTGTGACAAAAATTCGCACCAGTTAATAAGTCATCAAAAAAAAAAAAAAAAAATCAACATGCATATGTATACCATTATGTTTTGTCTTGTACAAATGTTCACCAAAATCAGACAAGGCATGTACAATAAAAGGATAAAGACAAATGAAAATCAAATCAGCATGGTCACCAGTTTTGTATCCAATCACAAACTGACATGCACCAGTCACCAATCAAGTGTGATGTTCATAACAATATTGGAACAGACATGCCTGAGAAAATTTGTTTGATGAAAATCACTCATTAAATTTAAGACTTTTGATTCTTGTTGAATTTTAGCTATCCATGTATGACCAAAATCTGGGTTTGGAATGGCAGATACATTTGATTTTGATGCATTTTTAACATTTTAAAGTACCACAATTTTAAAGTACCACAGCCCTCTTGAAACGGATCGTCAAACAAATTATCGTGCATGTCACAGACATTGCTTTGAATCCATGTTTATTAAAACAAAATGGACGCCAGTCATTTTGACATGCATCAAAGTTCCATAATCTTATTTGAAAAAAAAGTCCAATACTATTCAATGTACATGTATGTAAATTGTTTGAACAAATTCTGTCCATACATGGCAGTGCAAATGTATTGATAGATATATGAGGCCAAAAAAAACAAACAACTTATGTTGCCCTCAAGTCTGAAAATTGAAAAATTGGGTCGGTTGGTAGGATTTTTTATTTTTTTTAAACTCGTGAAAACCAAGGGTATCATAAATAGCCGAGGTATATTGAAATCAACCAAACGCATGCTAGATATTAAACACAAAAATCAAAGTGTTTCTTTCAGTCTTTTGTATTTAAATACAGAAAAAACTCGACACGATATTTCATATTTTTCGATCGGTCGCTGAAGACAACAAAACATTTTTTTTTGGCCTGATATGTGTGTGAAGTTTAAATGTGATCAGCCCACATATGTCCAAGATAAAAATGCAGGCAGATAGATGTACACATAGAAGTACAGAGGTCAATTCATAAGTCCCTGTTTAGGGACTGCATTCAACAAACTCACCTAACTGGTTCATTAACTTCAAGTTTCGAGGATCTATGACCGTCGATTTCTTCTTCTTAGCTACTCTGTCATATATTTTCTCTGCATTACTAACTGACGAACCATAGATTTCTTCTTCAGCAGTACTGCGTGCACGAGGAGGGTTTGGTAGAGGTCGTGGTGGTAAGTCTGGAATAGCTAATCCATCTAATCAATAAATAATTTAAAATGCTACATGTAGAAAAGATGCGATTTTAAGACATCGTCATTCTGAGCATGATTATAGTAGAATTTATTTGTGTCTATAAACCACACGTCCTTTGTCACATTAGAGATTCCAATAAGTGATTTTCCGTTCAACTGCGAGATCTCACGAGCTGCGTGAAAGATGTGCGCTGAACGTCTGTCGCAAAAAACAAACGATTTGATTTTGAACTCGAATTTTTTTATTTCATAGCTCACATCGAAAGACCGATCTTTGACAGGAAAATATTGCCATTAAGTACCCCCACTTCATCGAAATTGAACATCAACAAAAGTGTACATCACATTATTAAGCATGCAGATACATAAAACAATGTATCCCCCAAAATACTTTCACATTTGTCAATGCTATGACCTTAGTTTGTTCTGTTTTTACGTTTGATTTCACGCATAACACGGATATTGCAGTGAACGGAAAATGGTCTA